CCAAGTTCTTGGATCGTGGACTAAGGCTTTAGTCAGCTTGTGAAAAGGGTGAGTTATCGACGTCCGTTACTGATACATTGAAGAAATTTCCCTACGTTTAAATTTTGAGAATTGAATTCTATTCATTTATGAGCTCGCATTCTCCCCTTACCGGTTTCTATTTTCTTCTTTGGAGCCTTCAAGCATTCTTCATGTTTTTTCTTATTCATTGTGCGTATAAAAATATTAAATTCACTTTAAAAATCAATAGTTTGAGAGATATTTTATATTTCTTTTCTGATATATCTTGACGTTTATGACAATTGATATAAAATATTTTATGCGTGTATTTTTACATTTTTGCATGCACGAAATAAGATAAAAGTCAATGTATATAAAAAAGGAGCAATCGCATGTTGTAAACCGCACGTCTTTCCTTACGCACATTTATATATATTTCTCTCATATCGCTTTATTAATCACATTATTGAGTTTATAAAGGGTTAACATAAGGTCATCGAAAAACGCATATTTCATGCACACACATGTATGTACCCGAAGTCGTTATTAAATCTTTATTGTGCAAGACGCGGGCCTTTATCTAAAAGTCTTGTAAAAATGCAGTTACAAATACGCGGGTACGAAGATCATGCGTAACATTATCGCATAATCGCGTTATCTGGTGTAATTTTTAGTTGCGTGCTCCGACTCGGTTTCTTAATGAACTATAATCGACTTATGAACTATAACGACTTTCTAGTTGCCTATGTTACGAAATATTGCCGAGATATGCAAAATGCAGCAAACAATATCGAATCTCCAAGGTTACTTGGGATCCATATAAGCCTGTAAGATATCCTTTGATCCTAAATGAAGTTTGCTTTAGAGAAAAATATGAATGCAGATATCGTCTCTTTCCTTTTGCTGTATACAGAGTGATTTCTAAATACAAGTACAAAAATGTAAGGGAACTCCCGAACTTATTTCATAAAGAAAATGCTCTGTGAACGTATGCCCTGAAACGTTTTATTTTTAGAAGAATTTTACAGACTGTCCAATTTTAGAAAAAAAAATATGAATTTCGAAAATCTAACGAAACGCTTAGAGATCTGTTCAAATTTGGCATGCGTTTGTTTTTCATTCCAATTTCTTCTTTATCTCGAAATCGACTAACCGCATCAAAAAAAATTATAAAAGGCAATTTTTGTTGAAATTTAGTTCGGGATTTAAAAAAACTGGTTAAGCTTGGAAAAAGCAACGGCACACTGGTCTCTCATTTAAAAAACTTGATTACCAATACATACGCCCCTGGCGGATCTAAAAGCGTTTCATCGGTAGGAAAATGGTCCTTAACGTATGTACGTTACGAAATTTTAATCAAGTGTCTCTAGGTTTTTTCTTAGATTTTCGAGATTTTCATTTTTCAAAATCAAAGCACTTTGGGACATCGTTTGTAGAACTTTCTTCTAACATTTTCTTCATAAAATAAGCCGAGGAGCACCTCCTTACATTTTTCACACTTATGAATGGCTCTGTATAAATAACTGATGTCTATAAATGAAAATTCCAGAATAAGCGAAAGCTCAGGCATTGACTTTTCACTGGATAAATATTGAATTCGCCTCCGAGTTTGTAAGTTCCGACTCTATAGACATAAAGTCTTATGTTAATCGTCGAATTGCGATAAGCGTGTAAACGCAAAGAGATGTTAGGTGGAAAAATATGTCGTACGATTGCGGGAGTGAGATGCAAACTCGCCGGAGTCGTACCGGTTTGAAGGCGCGATTAAGCGAGGGGCGAGCGGAGTACCTTGGGATCTTTCTCGTAATAGTGCTGCTGAGTGCGAATCCATCGTGACACGAGATTGTCCTTGACGCTGTGGGCCAGGGCAAAATAATAATCGCGGCTCGTAGCGACGTTGCGGTCCTTCACCAGGGTGTAGTGAAGGTGTCTGTTGAAGGTCTTTTTGAAGTTGCCGACATTTTCGACGTCGACGATGCCGCGCACCGAAATCTGCTTCCTCTTCTCGTGATCGCTGTTCGACATTGACATGACGGCTCTAGGATTAATCGTACTCGGTGCCTGCGATACAACAAGCTGCTACAACAACGCGCACCCGACTAGCACGTAGTGGCTCGCCGATGGCGAATGATATGCGCTGCCAGTTCGGGAGGCAGTGGTCACCTTGCTTCAAGGTGACACATGCGCACGAGTAAACGATTACGTATTCTCGGCGGCAAAAATTCGAACAATTTTACTTGACCGACAGCAGACGTGTCTAAAGCCTTGTGCCCACGATGCTAGAAATCGACCCACGATCTGTCCAAACAGTATACGTACAGCCAATCAACGTGCAGTCTTTGTGACAAAGCTATTTCTCGGATTGAGATCTCGAACCAATTCTAGCATCGTATACACGAAAGCCAGCGGCACACGACAGTCTACTGGACTTCTTGCAAGAGCCAATAAGGATACAGTTTTAGATCAGTAGCTTAAAGGTGCCTTTTCATGCTGACGCTCGACGCTCATTTTTAGCGTCGAAGTAGGCCACGTGATTGAAGTTGACGCTGCATTGTGGAAAATGCATGAGAAGTAATTTAAGCGTCAAAATTAGAGCGCCAGTACCGCATCGTATCGGAATCAGAAGTTAGAAAATTAGAATCAAAATTAGAAGATTTGTTATACCGATATGTAGAAGAAAAATGCACAGTATTGTAATATAGCAACTTGAGTTATAAACTGGAATATAAGACGTTTTAAATACGTCATGAGAGCCGGAATTCTAACGGGCTAAAAAAAGAAATTATAATTAAGTCAATAACAGGTCAAACCAGGATTCGGGCTGGGGTAATATTTTTCGCAATAAGAATTTTAATTGCCAGACACGGTCAACAAAAATCACTGATGTTATTAATTTATTAATTACTTCTGGCGACTTTAAGAATATTCGTACTATAATTAAGTCCTTATGATACAAAATACAAAATGGCAATTACTGAATACTGTAAGTTTTTTAAATCAACTTTTATTACGTTAGGAAACACTTAACATAAGAAGGAAGAATTTCGAACATATCTAAAAAACATACTTTTGATTAACAATAATTCTGGATTTTATTCAAACGAGGAACATTTTTCAGATAAGCTACCGCTAATGGACAATATGTAGCCTTAGTTTGAAATATATAAATTCTTTACTTGAAATTAACTCGAAAAATTTGCCTACAAAAACCGTATTCGAAACTGAAAAGTAATTCTTACAATTATAAATTCGTAAATTTGCCATATTATATGCGTGCATTTCACTATATTAAACATTAAAAAATTGATCTCGGAACTCACGCGTTCGTAGCATCAATAATGTCAAAGAAATACAGGAGATACGAAGGATTAATGCGAAAAGGACAGCAGTTTATATTTAATATCATTTATTTATAAATTAATGCGGATGCGGATGCAGATGCAATAATGAAAACGACAAGAAGCATATTATGCATATTACAATTCACATTCTGAACATTTCGCCATCGGTCCCGATAAAAACACTGTGTTGTCGATAACTATTAGCTATTACGATATAAAGTTGCATCTTTATCGTTCACCGTTCAAATATATTCCGTGCCCTATTATTATTTAGGATCACCGTCTTCGATAACTGTCCTTTCCATTCACATATATACACACATGCGCGTTTGTACACACATATACATACGCACACGAGCAGCATATACGATGTATATATATATATAAAATGCGTGTGCGTACATAACGATATAATTACAATTAATGATGCAGTAGCAATAATATTATGCAAACGTCAACGTCATTGAGAGACAGATACAATATATACGTTTCTGCATGGTTTAATTCGTCATTAAATCTCCATTCAATTCTCCCAAACACAACAACTTAAAAACATCGAGACGATGGGGGATATCGCTGTAAATAAGATAATTACTTTAAGATCTCTATACCGCTGAGGAATAAACGATTCTATTTATATGCTGGACATCTCGTATTCGTCACTCCTTGTCCATTGAATCTTTCAAGTATCACTATTCTTCGACACCCCCATTTCTCATTATATCTCGCTGCGACGCGATTCAATTATTTTTAGTGGCGCCCGATCCGCGAAACAATTATCCAAACTACTCGAAATACGACGTTCCGACGAAGACGAGACTAAGATAAATCACATACAACCTTATTGTTCACTCACTTTCTCTCTCTCTCTCTCTTTCTCTCTCTTTCTCTCATATATTCATATCACCATATGGGTATTCATTCTTACTCTATCATTCTTTCAACTTACTCTTCCTTTTATTCCTTTTTCTCTTCGCAAAGAGGAAAACAAAGGACATCATCGGGTAGGTAGTAAAACACGAAGTTTATGATAATCGTAAAACACATTTGTCAAAGAGTATGACGAAAAAAGGGGAAGGGAGAGGCGGAGGGCTGATTCAATCCTCGAGAGCAGCCCCGCGCGCATTGCACTGTGGCTGGCCGAAAACTTGCCATCGCATTTTTTATCGTAATAATAAACGATTAATTAATCACTAAATGTTGCTTTTCTTTCTTTCTTTCTTTCGCTTACGGTGTTTGCTTCCTCGATAAGAATTGCTCTCGAGATTAGAATGTCGATGTACGCGTGCGCGGCCGTTTATCGGCTTTACCGACCATTTTGTGCCTCGAGAAATTGATATCCTTCTCTGGAAATACAGCGGACAGGCTCGTAAAGATGACGGCTCCCGCTATCCGCGTGATTACTGGGCTCGATCTTCGTTGAATGATGCAAATCTCCTCCCGGTCTGCTAGCACGCGCGCTCTCAAGCTCTTCTCTCACTTTTCACGCTTCTCTCGTTTGCTTCTATCTTAATCTTTTCTATATCTGCTGTCTCGGCTGTCCGTTGGACTATTGCCACTCGTGACTCTCCCTTATTCTTCCTTTGTCGGCTCAGCTTTCTTGCCAAGAGGAATTGCCGCCTTTACTCTAAAACAATCGAGTAGTCGACTTTAGAAAAACATTCTGGTAAAACATATAAGAAGCGACAAAAAAATATGACGAGTTTATTCTCTTTGCATAATTCTGTTGGATAAAAATAGTCTTTACTCTGTCCGTCGCATTTCCATTACGACGTATTTTTCATTTTCGTATAATAAATAAGGAAAAACTTATTGCATCATTTTCTAGATGTCTTTCGGGAAGTTTCTCACAAATTACAGATCTCCTCGCTTAACTCACTTGGCGGTAATTTCGTTGATCTTCGCCTGCACCAAGGCCAGATTCTGATCAATCTGCTCCTGGTTTGTCTCGTAAACCTTAGGCAGCGTGAAAAGAGCAACCACTCCTGAAAAAAGAAGCAGTACCATAACTGTTGAATCGATTCTAACGTACAGTCGCGAGATGTAGAGCAATACTGTAAGACATGTAAGGAAATTTACCAATTATAATAAGAGTCATGCCGTTGAACCAAGAACCCACGTAGGTGAGACACCATAGCAAAACGCCAAACTTCAGAGAATCGACAAAATCTTCAACGAGGAAAAGTCGGCGCAGCTCGCTAACGGCAGCATTAGCGTGTGCAACTGCGACATCCGCGACTTCGTGCACTTTCGAAGCTGGTAATGCCAGATCCAGCTCAAGAATATCCCTGAAATACAAATAACGGTTTGTGTTAATACTTAAAAAGTACACTTACCTATACTATGTTAAAGATTTATCAAACTAAACATCAACACAAGAATATATATGGATGATGTTTCTAAAAGAAATTTCGCATTCTTTTATACTTACTTGAATGGATGGCCATCCGAAGTTTTCTGGACTGCTTGAAGAACAGTTTTGTAGATACGGAAGAGGATGGTTCCGCTAAGAGCGAGAAGTGACATATAAGCCAGCACGCTAATCAGACTGAAATAGGCCAGTGACAAGAGCACGCCTAGTATCGTGCCGAAAACGATCCCCGATTTTTTCGGATCGCGCCAGTATATCAGAGCTGCCACTGTAAGGAAAAGCAGACAAAGATATGTTACAAAAACGAGAGAAAAACCCAGCTTAGCGCCTCTCATCCGAAAATAATAGCCGCAATTTCTTTCGATTTAACATTGTTAACCAATTAAGAATATATTATTTCATATGGAAATGTTCGTATATAATTTATGCTTCAATGTGTTTTAAATATTTTCTTGATAATCATAAATTTCAGTTCCATAGCACAATACATTTACATCACTGTTTGCGTTGTCAGGTATCTCATTAATTTTAAGTAAAATTAATTTTAGGTCTCCTTTTAATACAAGTTTCTTTTTATAAAAAGTAAAGTTTGCCGCTGAAATGTCAATAAAGATAACAAACCGTTCAAATATTCTTTTAAAAGAGATATTAAGGAGAAATTCAACAACCTTTATCAGAAAAAGAGATGTTTGCCAATCAAGATGTCTCCCAAGTCACTTGAAAATTATTATAATTTTACATAAATGATCCTTTTTGTACATTTTATAAATCGGTAACTTTGTGTATTTGTAGCAAGTCAGTTTCGCACACACAACATAAAACAACTGGAGCCTAACTTAATACTAATGACTACGAATCACAGCAATGTGATTTTTTATTTTTGTTTTTAATAGACGTAGGAACTCAATTAATCTAGGTATCTATAATAGAAACTGGGAACTCGCGTTCCTTCACATTTCTTCCAATATAAAAATTGGAAAAACCTTCGGTTTTATAATGCTATCAAGTAACGGAAAGTCAATTTTCTTACATCTTTACTATTTGCATCGTTAATTCGTATCAATGCGTTTGAGCGTAAGTTATCGAAGAAAATGATTTGGAAATGATCGATATGCAAAAGTACGCGAAAAAATAAGTAATATGTGAAGTATACTTGACGACTTTATTGGGGCATGAAATACCTGGCACCAAAATGTGGATAAGATAAAACGCAAGATAAGAAATGTTCGCAATTCGAACGGGAATTAATATAAATTAATTTTATTTTATGTTTATGCTCTTTGATAGTTTACTTTCTCTCCTATTTGTGTGTAATATTTGACACAATTTATTACAAATGTCGTAGATAAACAAAAATGTTGTACAGTATTCAAAAAATTAAATGATAATAAGTAGAAACTATGTTTGTTCATTTCACAAATGACAGGCCTGAGATTTCGCGCGCTCAGGTGCGGCGACACGACAAGTGATAAAGGTGTTGCTACGAATATCGCCCTTTTTAGCATAGTGACAACTTTCGCAACAGACTTAACGATTCATTCTCGAATTAATTGTTCCTCTTGTTATCTTTAACCATTTCTTTTGTTAACTTTGTGTAACGGCTTATTAATAAAAGGGAGGGGTTCACTATGATGAGCATCTGGATCAGACTGATATCCTTCGATCTAGTCGATCTCCGATATTCTGAGTGAACTTGGAATTTTCAGTTAGATTCAATCTAGTCTCCTGCCTCTCTTTATCCTCAAGTTTTCAAAATAACCGGATCATCGTCTTCCCAAATATTTTCTGTCCCGTTAAACGGTGACTTTGGTTCTCGCTCGCTCGCGAAACACATAGGAACACTTTTATCACTCGTCGTGTCGCCGTGCCTGGGCGCGCGAAATCTCAGACCTGTCATTTGTGAAATATAATCGCTTATTATTTAAAAACTGTCATAGCCTCGACATTTTTTTATTAGAATTTTCCTCTTGAATTTTTCTAAGGAATCTGCGATTAAAAGGATATCCGGTGGTTTTAGTACACCCTGTATATACATATAAGCTTTTGTACGAAAAATTCATGATTATTTATTCAATATTGCTCATATAGTCGGAATAAAACGTTGACAAGAATGAAAAGATTCGTGGGAACGTTTGCGATGTTCCGAAAAAAGTAATTTCGCGGCAATTAGGTCTACGCATTGTACGGTTCCACATGGGTTTACGACTTTCCGCGCGAAGCGAGATCCATACCGACCTCTGCTTTCGGAGCAACGCCAGACTCACGTGTTCAACATGGGTTTGCAACTTTCCGCGCGAAGCGAGACCCACCCCACACCTCAGACATGGAATGGGTAAAGTTATATCTTTAGAAGTGAAGCCAGCCCGAAGGGGGAGGGGGATGAAACACACTGTTTCAACGTATGTACTTCGTAAGACGGAAGCGCGGCTTTCCACACGAAGCACGATCCAACCCACACCGACCCCTGCTTTCGTGCAAAGTACATGCCTGGGGACAGTGTGTTCCGTCCCCTTTCTGGGGGACTCCACTTCACAAAGCTACGACCTTACCTATCCCAACCCATATCTGAGATGTAGAGTAGATCTCGTGAGAGATCCACAAGAATCTATCTGTTTTCATACAACGTGAGGTCCACCTTACACTCCATCTCTAATGATATAGTTCTGAAGTTTTTTTACAAAAACTTGAGGCACCCTATCAATACCTTGCATACATATATTTTTATAGCTATATGTTTTATTGATTGCCACAAAAAATCGCAATTTCTGCTGAGGCACACATTCTGCACATTTACCTAAAAAAGTTGTCTATACGATGTGTTCTTCTTTAATATAATCATGTGTTCTTCTTTAATATAATATTAAAAATACATAAATCTGCAATATTATATAATATTATTATTGCATGTGCCTATTAGAGACTATTAAGTATTACTATTCACCAACCACGAGATTGAATATTGACAGTTCACACTGCAATACATAATGTGTCAGCGTACGTATTACTATGAGCGAGCTCCGTACAACCGAAAAATATTACAGTTAGATATTAACCGGTTTGTAGAGTTTTAACTAAAACGAGTTTCCACCGGGGAAACTAGTTTATTCAACTCCGTGTACAGTTTGACAAAGCCGATTTAATATAGATTGTATATAAAAAAATTACTTTATTATACATATACAGGGTGAGTCATTATGTATCTTGAGAGATATAATTAAATATTATATGATTGAAACATACATAACGAGGCTTTTCCATTGTTTCCCGGATTGGCTACAGTTTCGGTCGGTAATCCATCTCTCATGGTAAAAGGTTGGGACAGTCTTAATGAGTCACCCTGTATACGTGTGTACACGTGTCCCGGCGCGCGCGTATGTATGTGTGTAAAATGCGCATGCATACAAAATAAAACAGATTAAATGCACGCGTGCGCACACACACACACACGCACAATCTAAAAAAATTAATACCTTTCTTATGTTGAATGAAGTAATTTCGATACTCTATGAAGTTTATTAGTTTACGATCTTTTCTAATTTGTAATTCGAGTTAGAATTTATACAGCACATTCTACTTATACGTGCATCTCGATACATATTTGATATGTATTTAAATATGCGTGTATGTATATATTTAAAAAAATATATTTCTCACAAAGATTATTGCGAAGATAAGATTTGAAACAGTAATCCGTTGCAAGTTGTGTCTAAAGCGGGCTTGATTAACAGTGCAATTTTCTCCTGAATATATCACGTCGCAACGTGGTCTTTACAATGGCCGAGTTTTTGAGATTGCGATACGAAAGAAGCAGGACCAGTGTTGCACGTTACTAACCATATGTTCCCGGATCAATGATCGGCCAGCGTGCCGGGCTGACTACTTCCGCGATCATAGGGTTCGTAAAGGGATGCGTAAGCACGCGAAACTTACCAGGACCGCGCTCTGGGAGGACTTGCACGTGTCCTCTCTGAACGTTCTTTCGTACCATCCTTATAAAGCGTCACGAAGCCTTTTCCCGTTACAGAGCTGAGGGATATCCGCGCGGTCGGCGGTCACACACGCAACTGTTCCAACATTATTCAGGATCCGGCGAGAGGACAGCCTCATTGATAAAGAAGGAAAGGGAGAGGGAGAGAAAGAGAGAGAAAGGGGGGGGGAGACAGAACGGGAGGAAGCTGGCGAACGTGAAACAGGGGCGTAACTACTCGGGCAATTGATTCTGTCTCGGAAAGAATTGTACGAAAGCAATTGCCGAAAAAGCTGCGAGTTGTAATGCCAAATTTGTTATATTGCAATTATACTGTCAGTCAAGTTATATTTTCAGTCAGAATGTTGATGGAAATTCAACAAAGAGTGCCAGAAATCGAATTTCGCTCGGTTTCTACCATCTACCGTCACCATTGTGTTATATTCGGACAGCAATAGAATGTATTCAATGCTACCAGCTCAGGTAGTTGAATTTGTCGAAAGCGGGCTTTGCAAGCTATTTACAACATTTTATCCTGTTCCATAAGAGATTATGGTGGCAAATTGACTGCAGAAATTTTAGTGATATATTCCAGATATACGTGCTAGCGGAAACTAGAATCTGTTCGGTTTCTACCATCTACCATCCAAGTTCTAGTTCCAAGAAATGTGTAGCCAATCAACTTGCATGCTTTTGTGGAATAGCTGATTTGGACCGAGTTAAAGTTTTAGCATCGTGGACACAGGCCTTAAGATTTTACACCTGGGAATCTGCTTTGCAAATTGCTTTCCTCGCCGAAAGAGTTTTTGAATTCTCAAAACTTACGAAAAGATAGAATTAAACATCGCATCTATGTATCTGCATTTAATTTTATATATGTATAATACAATTGAAATATTCTGATTAGATCGAATAACTTCCCGCATTACTGAGATGGAACCAATTCTTGTTGTCAATGTTAAAAAATAAGTGAATTAATTATTTTTAGAATTAATTAATAGCACACGTTTTCAATCTGTCTTGTATGTGGTGTCTCTAAAGGGATAAATTTACGAAAGCAGGTATAATCATTAAATATTTTCCGATGATTTTATTTTATGAAGAAATCTAGTGTTAAATGTGTATATGTACTCGTACATATAGCGATACATTATTCGTATACATTGATTACATCTTTTGATATTTACCATCGACCTTTATATCTCGAGCTAATAATATATCAAGCGAGTGTTAATATCTATAATTATTTGTTTTTTATGCATATGATATTTACATATTTATATACCCTACATGGCTGTATT